GCTATTTCGGTTGGCGCTGTGTAACTTGGAGATAGGGTGTAATCACGCCACGGACGCCGCCGCTAAATAATACCACAGCTAGAACTCCCCTACTTTGTCTAAGTGCTCCTACTGGTGACGCCGGCCATTATGGGGGCTGTTACCATGGCGACGATTTTATATTTTATTTATTTATATATGTATTCTCGCTTTTTTTTTTTCTTTCTTTCTTTTTTTCATTTCCCTTCGCCGCGAGGTCTTGCTCTTGTTTGTGAAAAGTGGATTGGTCACAGAGTTCAGTACACGACGCTCACACTGATATGGAGTTAAAGGCACACTGTGGAACTTTTAACGGGTATGGAGGGTTGGTTGCTCGGTGGAGACGGTACTGCCGTTGTCTGGAATAGTCCACAGCGCGGCATTAAACTGATCTGTCTTGTATTTACTCATTACGGGTGTTTTTATCGGTAAAAATATGCGGAAACCGAGAGGGGTCGTAACAAACGCAAACGCCGCGGCAAATACAAATGCGACAACACAACAAAAAAGCAACAAACCAAAAAAAAACAAACCAAAAAAAAAGCCAGAACGGAAATGACCGCGGGACTCTACTTTAATGCAAACGCCGCAACAAATACAAACGCCACAACACAAACGCAAATGCCGTAACACATTAAAAAGCCACAACACATCAAAAAGCCACAACGGAAGTGACCGCGGGACTCTATTTTCCGACGGACCGATCAAGCGGCAAGTGAAGAAGAAGAACTACAACGTGAAAAGTAAAGGAACGGAGAAGTTGGAAACGCAAGTAAAAGTAATTTATTGTTTTATCATCATTCGTTTCACGTTGTAGTTTTTCTTCTTCTTCACTTGCCGCTTGATCGGTCCGTCGGAAAATAGAGTCCCGCGGTCACTTCTGTTGTGGCTTTTTACTTTGTTGTGGTTTTTTTAATGTGTTGTGGCTTTTTAATGTGTTGTGGCTTTTTAATGTGTTGTGGCATTTGCGTTTGTGTTGTGGCGTTTGTATTTGTTGCGACGTTTGCATTAAAATAGAGTTTTTTGTTGTGTTGTGGCTTTTTTGTGTGTTATGGCTTTTTGATGTGTTGTGGCTTTTTTGGTGTGTTGTGGCTTTTTGATGTGTTGTGGCTTTTTTGTGTTGTGGCTTTTTGATGTGTGTTGTGGCTTTTTAATGTGTTGTGGCTTGTGTGTGTTGGCTTTTTTTTTAATGTGTTGTGGCTTTTTTAATGTGTTGGCTTTTTAATGTGTTGCGGCATTTGCGTTTGTGTTGTGGCGTTTGTATTTGTTGCGGCGTTTGCATTTCCGTTGTGGCTTTTTTTTTTTTGTTGTGGCTTTTTTGTGTGTTGTGGGCTTTTTTAATGTGTTGTGGCTTTTTTATGTGTTGTGGCTTTTTAATGTGTTGTGGCTTTTTTAATGTGTTGTGGCTTTTTTATGTGTTGTGGCTTTTTTATGTGTTGTGGCTTTTTTAATGTGTTGTGGCTTTTTTTAGTTTGTTGTGGCTTTTTTGTTGTGTTGTCGCATTTGTATTTGTTGCGGTGTTTGCGTTTGCTGTGACCCCTCTCGGCTTCCGTAAAAATATCTTGGAAAAACATACATTCTTAGAGTCTGTGCGCTCGCCTCTGCACAGATCTGACTTGACTCGGCCTGTTTGTCTTCATGGAGATACGTTTAAAGCTCGCGTCTCCACAAACCTGACTCTTATTTAGCCTGGAGTAGGGCCTCCTCCTGGAAATAATGTTCATTTGGGTACACTCTTCCACAGTACGGCATAAAACATATCTATCTCCATGGACAATGTTCCCAAGTGTGGCTTTAACTTTCTATTTCCATGGAATCATGAAAGTTACATACTGTGGCTTTAAGTACTACATAGAGGTGGAACTATATCCAAGTGTAATGATACGATATCGTCTCTCTCTCCCTCTCCTTTCCACTCTTCCTCGTCCTCTCTCTCTCTTCTACTCTTGTCCTCCTTCTTCCTGCCTCCCTGTCTTTCCCTTCATCCTTTCCTCTCTCGCTCCCTCTGTCTGTCCTTCCATCTTTCTCTTCCTCTCCTCTCCTCTCCCTGCCTCCTCTCTCCTCCCTCTCGCCATCTCTCCACCTCCCTCATTCTCCTCTCTCCACTCTCTTCTCTCCTACTCCCTCTCTCTATCCATCCTCGTCCTCCCTCTCTCTCTCCTCGTCCATCTCCCTTTCTCCTCTCTCTCTCCTCCTCCTCTTTCCCCTCTCTTCTCTCCTACTCCCTCCTCCTCTCTCTTCTCTCCTCTTCCTCTCTCTCTCTTCTCCTCCTCCTCTCTCTCTCTCTCTCTCTCTCCTCCTCCTCTCCTCTCTCTCTTCTCCTCTCCTCTCTCCCTCTCTCTCTCTCTCTCCTCTCCTCCTCCTCCTCTCTCTCTCTCCTCTCCTCCTCTCTCTTCTCTCCTCTCCTCCTCCTCTCCTCCTCTCTCCTCTCTCTCCTCCTCTCTCTCCTCCTCTCTCTCTTCTCCTCCCCCTCTTATCTCCTCCTCCCCCCTCTCTCCTCCCTCTTCCTCCCTCTCTTCTCTCTTCTTCCTCTCTCTCTCTCTCCCTCTCTCTTCTCTCTCTCTCCTCTCCCTCCCTCTCTCTATCCTCCTCCCTCTTTCCCTCTCTCCTCCTCCTCCTCACTCTCTCTCTTCTCTCCTCCCTGTCTCTTCTCTCCTTCTCTCCTCTCTCCTCTCTCTCTCTTCCTCTTCTCCTCTCCTCTCTCCCCTCTTCTCTCCTCTCTCTCCTCTCTCTTCTCTCTCTCTCTCTCTCTCTTCTCTCCTCTCTCCTCCTCCTCCTCTCCTCTCTCTTCCTCCTCTCCCTCTCTCTCTCCTCCTCCTCCCCTCTCTTCTCTTCTCCTCCTCCCCTCCCTCTTCCTCTCTCCTCTCTTCTCCTCCTCTCCCTCTCTCCCTCTCTCCTCCTCTCTCTCCTCTCTCTCTCCCTCTCTCTCCTCTTCTCTCCTCCCTCTCTTCTCTCTCCTCCTCTCTCTCTCTCCTCCTCCTCTCTCTCCTCTCCTCTCTCCTCTCCTCTTTCTCTCCTCTCCTCCTCTCTCTTCTCTCCTCCCTCTCTCTCTCTCTCCCTCTCTCTCTCCTCCTCCTCTCTCCTTCTCTCTTCCTCTCTCTCTCTTCTCCTCCTCCTCTCCTCTCTCCTCTCTCCCTCTCTCCTCTCCTCCTCTCTCTTCCTCTCCTCTCTCTTCTCCTCCTCCTCGTCCTCCCTCTCTCTCTCTCTTCTCTCCTCCTCCTCTCTTCTCTCCTCTCCTCCTCTCTCCTCCTCCTCTCTCCCTCTCTCTCTCCTCTCTCTCCTCTCTCTCCTCTCTCTCCTCTCTCTCTCCTCTCCTCCTCTCCTCTCCTCTCTCCTCTCTCTCCTCCTCTCTTCTCTCTTCTCTCCCTCTCTCCTCCTCGTCCTCTCTCTCTCTCCCTCTCTCCTCTCTCTTCTCCTCCCTCTCCTCTCTCTCTCCTCCTCCTCGTCCTCCCTCTCTCCTCTGTCAGGTCCCACTGTGGTCCGTGTTCACTTTTAGCATCACTGGCCTAGATCAACGCAAAGTGTCCGACAGCAGCTCCACACAAACTTCACTTCCACACTCCAGACTCCAGACTCCAGACTCCGCGAGGATCCGGGTCAGGAACCACAAAACTTTAAGAACACACGGTTCCGTAATAAACAGTTTAGGTTAACAGCTTATTTATCTTTACTTACAAGTGTTATTTTGTATTGAAATGTATAACCTAGAGAATTTAATAAAGATTAGTTTGATTTTTTTGCAGATGTGTTGGAATCCTAAATACTGGGAGAGAATTATTTAAAAGATTTAATAAAGTATCTGGACCAAGGAAAAAACAATAAAAAAGGGACATTTCACGGAAAATTCATCGCACAACCTGAGTGTAGAAAAAAAAAAGGATTACTCTAAGTTAAACCAACTCTAGATGGACCATTTTAAGGACTTTTGACCATTCAAAATAACCAAAATATTTAGTTTTAAATTGTAAATAATTCCAAATGTTCATTATTTAATAGAGATGTTAGAATGTTTCACAGTGTGGCATTAAACTTATCGGTTTCCATGGAGCAAGTGACAAGATTTCTGAAAACATGAAAGAAACATATGCAAGACTGGATAAAAACTAATTAGAACCAAATATTACAGGAATAAACTGTCCACGATAGTAGCAGTAGTTTAGTAGCAAAGTCAGCAGCTAGTAGTAGTAGTAGTAGTAGTAGTAGTAGTAGTAGTAGTAGTAGTAGTAGTAGTAGTAGTAGTAGTAGTAGTAGTAGTAGTAGTAGTAGTAGTAGTTGTAGCAGTAGTAGTAGTAGTAGTAGTAGTAGTAGTAGTAGTAGTAGTAGCAGTAGTAGTAGTAGTAGTAGTAGTAGTAGTAGTAGTTATAATAGTAGTAGTCTTCATAGTGATAGTCGTAGTTGTAGAAGTAGTAATAATAATAGTAGTAGCAGTAATAGTAGTAGTGGTAGTAGTAGAAGTAGTTGTTATAGTAGTACTAGTAGTAGTCGTAGCTGTATAGTAGTAGTAGTAGTAGTTATAATAGTAGAAGTCGTTCTAGTCATAGTCGTAGTTATATTAGTAGTAGTAATAATAATAGCAGTAGTAGTAGTAGTAGTAGTAGTCAGTAGTAGTAGTAGTAGTAGTAGTAGTAGTAGTCGTCGTAGTCATAGTCGTAGTTATAGTCGTAGTAGTTATAATAATAGTAGCAGCAGTAGTAGTAGCTGTAGTAGTATGAGAAGTAACAGTAGTAGTAGTAGTAGTAGTAGTAGTAGTAGTAGCAGTTTTTGACGAGGAAACAACATCATAACATAAAGCTCCATTACGTATTATTTTCCTCACCATTATTTTTAATTGCCTCTCTGTCAAACCAATACGTCTTCTTCCTGTCACCTGAGTTCAGTTGCCGTGACAACCGTGGGGGGGGGGGCGGGTACATACACACACACACACACACACACACACACACGTATCTATATAAAAGATCCACCACCTGCTCCCTCATTACCTTGGCGACGGCGGTCTGCTTGTACATCTGCGTGACCAGGCCCATGACCTCGGCGAAGGAGTTGTCCGCGGCGACGCCCTCTGACCCCGTCCCCTTCATCAGGCGCTCCCACTCGGCGAAACTGGACGCGGCCTCCTGGAAAAGAAAAAAAAGAGAAAAAAAAAGGAGAAAATGGGATACGTCCTATTTCCTTGGGCGCGCGTGTCCTTTCAGTGGTTCAATCAGACAGAGCCGTGTTTGAGGTGCAAAAGGACAGAGCAGGGACCAGGCGAGAACTCGACCAGGACTGGGATAAAACAGGACTAAGACACGGAGGAAAGAAGAGAAAAGAAGGACTGGAACAAGGACTAAAAAAAAAAAAAAAAAGGACTCAACCAGGACTATAATAAAAGAGAATAGAGAAGAGGCTGAAATAAAGGTAAAACAGGACTAAAGCAGGATTAAACACGGACTAGAACAAGAACTAAACCAGGACTAAAACCAGGACTAACCAGGACTAGAACAATAACTAAACCAGGACTAGAACAAGAACTAAACCAGGACTAAAACAGGACTAAACAGGGCTAGAACAAGAACTAAACCAGGACTAAACCAAAGCTAGAACAAGAACTAAAACAGGACTAAACCAGGACTAGAACAAGAACTAAACCAGGACTAAACCAGGACTAGAACAAGAACTAAACCAGGACTAAAACAAGAACTAAACCAGGACTAAACCAGGGCTAGAACAAGAACTAAACCAGGACTAAAACCAGGACTAGAACAAGAACTAAACCAGGACTAAACCAGGACTAGAACAAGAACTAAACCAGGACTAAACTAAACCAGGACTAGAACAAGAACTAAACCAGGACTAAACCGGACTAGAACAAGAACTAAAAACAGGACTAAACAGGACTAAACCAGGGCTAGAACAAGAACTAAACCAGGACTAGAACAAGAACTAAACCAGGACTAAACCAGGACTAGAACCAAGGACTAAACAAGAACTAAACCAGACTAAAACAAGAACTAAACCCAGGACTAACTAAACCAGGCTAGAACAAGAACTAAACCAGGACTAAACAAGAAAACTAAACCAGGACTAAACCAGGACTAGAACAAGAACTAAACCAGGACTAGAACAAGAACTAAACCAGGACTAAACCAGGGCTAGAACAAGGACTAAACCAGGACTAAACCAGGACTAACCAGGGCGAGAACAGGACTAAACAGGACTAAACCAGGACTGAACCAGGGCTAGAACAGGACTAAAACCAGGACTAAACCAGGACTAGAACCAAGACTAAACCAGGAAACCAGGGCTAGAACAAGGACTAAACCAGGACTAAACCAGGACTAGACAAGAACTAAACCAGGACTAAACCAGGACTAAACCAGGGCTAGAACAAGAACTAAACCAGGACTAAACCAGGACTAGAACAAGAACTAAACCAGGACTAAATCAGGACTAGAAAAGAACTAAACCAGGACTAAAACCAGGACTAGAACAAGAACTAAACCAAGGACTAAAACAAGAACTACTAAACCAGACTAACAAACAAGAACTAAAAGACTAAACCAGGACTAAACAAGACTAAACAGGACTAAACCAGGGCTAGAACAAGAACTAAACCAGGACTAAACCAGGACTAGAACAAGAACTAAACCAGGACTAAACCAGGGCTAGAACAAGAACTAAACCAGGACTAAACCAGGACTAGAACAAGAACTAAACCAGGACTAAAACAAGAACTAAACCAGGACTAAAACCAGGACTAAACCAGGGCTAGAACAAGAACTAAACCAGGACTAAACCAGGACTAGAACAAGAACTAAACCAGGACTAGAACAAGAACTAAACCGGGACTAAACAGGACTAGAACAAGAACTAAAAGGACTAAAAACAGGACTAGAACAAGAACTAAACCAGGACTAAAGCAGGACTAGAACAAGAACTAAACCAGACTAAAACAAGAACTAAACCAGGACTAAACCAGGGCTAGAACAAGAACTAACCAGGACTAAACAAGAACTAAACCAGACTAAACCAGGACTAGAACAAGAACTAAACCAGGACTAGAACAAGAACTAAACCAGGACTAAACCAGGACTAAACCAGGGCTAGAACAAGGACTAAACCAGGACTAAACCAGGACTAGAACAAGAACTAAACCAGGACTAAACCAGGGCTAGAACAAGGACTAAACCAGGACTAAACCAGGGCTTGAACAAGGACTAAAGCAGGACTAAAATAAAAAGGACTCAACCAGGACTGGAAGACAAAAAGAACAGAAACAGGGCTGAAATAAACCAGACCAAACCAGGATTTAGCCAAGACTTAACCAGAAATAAACCTGGATAACAAGACAAGGAACAGGACCAAAACTAAACTAAACTAAACCAAAGCAGGACTAAACCAGGGCTAGAACAAGAACTAAAGCAGGATTAAACAAGGACAAAATGTGGACTAAACCAGGACTAAATGAGGACCAAAGCAGGACTAAAGCAGGACTAAACATTTTTAAAAAGACTAGAAACTTTGTCTACAACAAACTTATATTAGAAGTAAATTAGGATTTTACCCAGACTAAACCAGGACTAAACCAGGACTAAATGGTAGAAGTATCTCACAATAGTATCTTACAAGACCATGACTAAACGAGAACTAAACCAGGACTACAACGAGGTTTACCAGGACTAAACCAGGACTAAACCAGGACTACTAAAACAGGACTAAACAGGACTAAACCAGGACTAAACCAGGACTAAACCAGGACTAAACCAGGACTAAACAGGACTAAAACAGGACTAAACCAGGACTAAACCAGGACTAAACCAGGACTAAAACAGGACTAAACCAGGACTAAACATGGAACTAAACCAGGACTAAAACAGGACTGAATCAGGACTAAACATGGAACTAAACCAGGACTAAACCAGGACTAAACAGGACTAAAACAGGACTAAACCAGGACTAAAACAGGACTAAACCAGGACTAAACCAGGACTAAACCAGGACTAAAACAGGACTAAACAGGACTAAACCAGGACTAAAACAGGACTAAAACAGGACTAAAACAGGACTAAACAGGCTAAAACAGGACTAAAACAGGACTAAACCAGGACTAAAACAGGAAAACAGGACTAAAACAGGACTAAACTAAAAAAGGACTAAAACAGGACTAAACAAGGACTAAACCAGGACTAAAAACAGGACTAAAACAGGACTAAACCAGGACTAAAAACAGGACTAAACCAGGACTAAAACAGGACTAAACCAGGACTAAACCAGAACTAAACCAGGACTAAAACAGGACTAAAACAGGACTAAAACAGGACTAAACCAGGACTAAACCAGGACTAAAACAGGACTAAACCAGGACTAAACAGGACTAAACCAGGACTAAACAGGAACTAAACCAGGACTAAAACAGGACTAAAAACAACAGGACTAAACCAGGACTAAACAGGACTAAACCAGGACTAAAAACCGGACTAAAACAGGACTAAACCAGGACTAAAAAAGACTAAAACAGGACTAAAACCAGGACTAAAACAGGACTAAACAGGACTAAAACAGGACTAAACCAGGACTAAAAAACCAGGACTAAACAGGACTAAACCAGGACTAAAACAGGACTAAACAGGACTAAACAGGACTAAACCAGGACTAAAACAGGACTAAACCAGGACTAAAACAGGACTAAACCAGGACTAAACCAGGAAAACCAGGACTAAACCAGGACTAAACCAGGACTAAACCAGGGACTAAAAACCAGGACTAAAACAGGACTAAAACCAGGACTAAAACAGGACTAAAACCAGGACTAAAACAGGACTAAACCAGGACTAAACCAGGACTAAACAAGGACTAAACCAGGACTAAACAGGACTAAACAGGACTAAACCAGGACTAAAACAGGACTAAACAGGACTAAACAGGACTAAAACTAGAAACAGGACTACAGGACTAAATTAGGACTAAACTGAAAAAAACCTAAACCGGACTAAAACCAGGACTAAACCAGGACTAAACCAGGACTCAGGACTAAACCAGAACTAGAAAAGACCAAAATAAACAGACTAACCCAGATTAAACCAAACAAACCAGGACTGTAATTTAAAAAAAAAAGACTAGAAACTTTGTCTACAATAAAGCTATATGAGCTATATGGAGTAAATCTGGAGTAAATCTAGACTAAACTTGGACTAAACCAGGACTAAATTATGTTGTGGCAAATAGGGTAAAATGGTAGCAGTACTTGAATAGACCAGGAACTAAACCAGAACTAAACCAGGACTCTGTAACAAGACAAGAAACAGGACTAAAATAAAGCAGGACTAAAACAGGACCGCAATTTAAAAAAGACTAAAAACTTTAACCTGGAGTAAATCTGGACAAAACCAGAACTAAACCAGAACTAAACCAGGATTAAACTAGGACTAAACCAGGACTAAACCAGGATTAAACTAGGACTAAACCAGGACTAAACCAGGACTAAACAGGGAAACCAGGATTAAACTAGGACTAAACCAGACTAAACCAGGATTAAACTAAAAGTACTAAACCAGGATTAAACTAGGATTAAACTAGGACTAAACAGGATTAAACAGTAAACCAGGACTAAACCAGGATTAAACTAGGACTAAACAGAACTAAACCAAGACTAAACTAAAAGACTAAACTAGGATTAAATTAGGATTAAATAGGAGTAAAAGGACTAAACCAGGACTAAACCAGGATTAAACCAGCACTACAATAAAACAAGATAAGAAACAGACCAAAATAAAGCAGGACTAAAACAGGACTGTAATTTAAAAAAAAAAAGACTAGAAACTTTGTCTACAATAAAGCTATATGAGCTATATGGAGTAAATCTGGAGTAAATCTGGACTAAACCAGGACTAAACCAGGACTACATTATGTTGTGGCAAATAGGACAAAACGGTTGCAGTACCTGACTAGACCAGGTCCAAACGAGACCTAAACCAGGACTACAACAAGACTCACCGTGGCTAAACCGGGACTAACTTAGGCTCGCCTCTCCACAGATCTGCCCCACAGCTCCTCCAGGTAGCTTTGCCTGCTCGTCTCCACGGTGATCGACAAGTCTAACGAACACTTCAGTTGGTGAAATAACATCGCCGTGGAG